TCCTGTGCCCTTGGGAAAAGCTCGCCAGCCGCGGCCTCGATGGAGCCGTCGGCGCCCTAGTGCAAAATTTGTTCTGTAACCTCGGGAAAATCTCGTCATCGGCGGCCTCGATGGCGCCGTCGGTGCCCTAGTGTAATTCTCCACATTTTGGTCCTTTTTGCTCCAAATTCGCTCCTTTTTTGCATCTTTTTGCTCCATTGACCCTAATTCATCATTCCTACAACAAAACATAAAAATTATCTTTCTTTAAAGTGCAATATCATTAAAAACAGTATAAAAGAGGTATGAAAATCTCAACCTATTTTCCTTTGGTCAAGAAGGTTGGTGTTAAATATGATGATGGGAAGAAGTATTGTTATATGTAAGGCCCATCACTATGGTGAATGTGAAGGCTTATACTGAGCATTCCATTTTTGACTGGAGAGGAGGATTTTCTAGGAGTTATGGAATGGAGACTTTTGCTGCTTCTACCTCTGCTGCTTCAACATTTAAACCATCTACCTCACTTGTTTCTACATCTAGAGGTGAGTTTACTGAGACCTGAGATGCAATACTACAAAAGATGATGGAAAATATTAACTTTACCCCTGATAAAGTTCAGAATTTAGAGCGTTTTGCAGATCGTACAGATAAACATAATAGGAGAAAGAGTGAGTATGAAGAGAAATTTCACTCGTCTCTGGAGAGCCTAATTAGAGGTGACCCAGGACCCAGGGGTGCAATTACTTCCATATCCTCGATATCTTAATTATGAGCCTGCCGAAAAATGGTATAGTGGTGATTTAGAAGATGGGGAGTAGGAATGAGAGATTTTTGTACTGAGAGATTTTTTTGTTTGTATTATGTTGAGGACTTTGTGGTCTTGGTACTGCTACATTTGCATCTGTGTGTTGATTTAGATTATGTGTTGTGTTTTGGATTTTTTTATTTATTTTTTTTATTGTTGTTGTGATGTTTCTGTTAGTTAATATTTTGTTTTTAAATTCTAGCATAGTAACTGTTGTGAGTTTTGTGATTTAGTTAGTTTAGAACTTTACTTAATTTTATGTCGTTTGAAAAGATAAAAAATCTTTCTAACTTAGATCTTAAATTTAAATTTTAGAAACTACTACTTTGTATATTTCTTTTATCATGTTTGTGTGTTTGTTTTTATGTTGAGATTTTGAAGTCAAACTTAGTGTGTTAGTTTTCTTTTATGTTTATACCCCCTTCTTAGAAGTCTATTGAATCTCTACATATTGAATTGAAATGAAAATATTAGAAAATTTGATCAAATTTAATTTTACTCCTGTTTTTTTTAGTTTTTCTACTTGTATCATTAGGGTTTAAAAATTCATGTTAGCATGTTATTTAAAATTTTCATTCCTACTTATATATATCTGATGCTAAAATGTTTAATCTGTTTACTATGCTACAAGTGAATTTGGCTTTAAAAGAAAAAAAAATGATTATGTATATGAAGTTATATTAGGGAAGTAAAATTTGATTTTAGAAATGAGTAAATAAATTTAGTTGAAATTTTTTTAGTTATGAAGAAAAACTTTAAGTTAAAAGTTCTTAGTGTAGAAAATGTTTAATATCGTGTAACTATCTTTAGTAAGAAAAATTGTATTTTTGAAAAATTTAGATAATTTAGACTTTTATTTTGCATACTTCATTTTCTTTTATTAAAATAATTTTCAATACTATTGTTATATTTATAAGTAAAAGACTTATATAAAGACTTTGCTTTAAGAAAGGAGAGAAGTGGAATTCAAATTTTTTAAAGGCCTATCCAAATATAGTAATCCTTGCCTGAAAAAGAAAAGAAAAAGAAAAGAAAAAAAATAAGAGAATGTTGTTAAGAGAAGAAAAAGAAAAAGAAAAAAAAAGAGAAAAAGTTAGGGAGAAGAAGCTTGAGGATTAGTACCTAATAAAAAATTTGTTCCACATTTGATCTTTTTAAAGTATAAGGCTTGAGAAACTCTTAAGCTTAGGGATAAATTATTTAAAATAAAATTTTTTAAGAAGAGAAAATAAAAGGACTAAATTCTAAATTTGGAAAATCTATAATATTTCTGAATTAGATAAGAACTTATATTTTTATCTTTCTTAACTTTTAAGAATTTCCAAACTTTAAGTTGGTCTCAATCACTGAATATTTTTTCTAAATTGGACTACTATATTTCTAAATCTAAATTTTAGTAACTCCTAAAGAAACTCATATACATATCATACTTACTTAGTTTTTAAGGATTGAAGTGTCACTTGAGGATAAGTAACTTCTTAAGTTTGGTGGATTTTGATACATTTAAAATATATAGTATTTGTATACATATTTTTATACCTATTTTTGAGATATTGCACTTTAATAAAAGGAATTTGTGTGTTTTTCTTTCAGGCACAATCAAATGGATGGAAAATGCTAAAAAGAGTGAAAAAGGGTCAAATTTGGAGCAAAAATGAAGAAACTGCAAAAATGAACTAGGATGCCTAAGTGCCCAAGTTTGACGCTTAGGCGCCAGCACGCTTAAGCCCTAGAGGCCCCGCGCTTAAGCGCCAGTGGCAGTTATTGGATGAGTAATCTCATTTTTTGCGAATTTTGAAGAGGTTATTTAGGCACCCATTAGCTTAATTGGTGGTTACAACCACCATGGATGAAAACTATTACGAAAGGGGGCATCTCTTGGAGAAATACATCGAATCAAGACATATTTTGAAGAGATACCAAGGCACATATTGGAGATTTATAAAAGAATGAAGATTGAGTCTTTGAAAGTGTGCTTGAAAAGAGAAAGTTTTGAAAGTTCTTGAATTAGGGAGTTAGTTCGGAGAGATTTTCAGGCACTACATATTTTTTTTATCATTTTTATTTTAGTTTTTATATTGAGAGTGTTATAAAAGAGAAGAAATTCAAAGGAACTTCAAGAGTTTGGTGGATGACTTGAGATAAGTGTTTATCTTTTATTTTAGACTACTTTTAGTTTTAATTGAGACTTGTTGTTGGTTTAACAATGATTTCTACTTTTAAACTAAACTATGGTTTTGTTTTCTCCATAGATTCTGAGTAGTTTTCATTATCTTTCTTCTTAAAAGGATAAGTGATTAAGTGCTGGATGGAAGTTGTGGAGAGTATTGATATTTAATGTTGGAAGAAGTTGTCATGATTTAAATCCATGCACTTCATTTACTTCTTAATTTGGCCAATCTAGTTGCTAAAATTTGTTGTGAGAACATGTAAAAATCGGGCTGGTATTGTCTTAGTCAACAATTGGAAAGAATCATATGAGGTTGTACGAATGAGAATGTAGTTCATATGATTGAGTGAAAATAAATAAGGAAATATTCATTGAAGGGTGTATAGTTAGAGGACTTTAAAGTGATAGGTTAAAACCCCCAACTTGGTTTATTGTTTTAATTTCATATACAAGAATGTTAGCCCCCACGTGGAGGGAATCAAGGGAACTCTAAAGTGAGAGCTAGTATCTTCCCTGCCTAGTCGGTTTTTAGCAAACTTTAAATTAGCCAATGTTTTTTATAGCATCTCTAGTAAGGGTAAAGAATATTATTGCTCCTATTTGGCACAACACAATTTGCATACTTCCACAACAGGATTCCTATTACTTATTACTGATTCATGATAAGAAGAAAGATATTTTTCATCCTTAGTGCTTTTCCTCTGCAAATACTCTAGCTTTCTTTTTAAATTCTTATTATTCTATCAAAATATTGAAAATACTAAAAATATTTAAATTTTCATTACTGCAAGAGTCATCTTTAGTTTAAATAATTGTTTTTTTACAAATAGAAAGTTTCTAAAAGTGAATATTGCATAATCTCCCTATGGGTCCGATATTTAGGTCTTAATCAAAAAGTCCTATATTACTTGATAACGATACGTATACTTGCGTAGTATCCCAATATATATAAATTAAAAGTTAAATTCTTATTTTTCTTTAAGATCAAGTTGTTGGTTTTGTTGCAATATAATCAAAATTATTGTTATACTGTTGCATATAAGCAGTAAGTTTGGATCAAGTTTTTAACGTCTAGGCCTACCTTGAAAGTGGAGATGGGAATAGGGCGTCCATGCCTACCCCGAAAGCATAGATGAGAATATGTCTTCTAAGCCTACCTCGAAAGTGGAGATGGGAATAGGACGTCTAAGCCAACCCCAAAAGTGTAGATGGGAATAGGACATAGATGGGAATGGGACGTCTAAGCCTACCTTGAAGGTGGAAATGAGAATAAGACATCTAAGCCTACCCAAAAATTGGAAATGGGAATAGGACGTCTAAGCCTACCTCGAAGGTGGAAATGAGAATATGACATCTAAGCCTACCCTGAAGGTGGAAATGGGA